CTAGGGTTTAAAATTAATCTTTCGAATTAAACAATTAATAATAATTAATTTTAAACTAAATAATGATTTAATCTTTTATCTTAATTAAACAATTAATTAAATAATTTTAAATCATATTATTTACCAATTAAACAATTATATAAATAATTTAATTTCATGGATTAAATAACTATTTACCAATTAAACAATTAATTTAAATAATTCAAATTTAATCCTAATCCCTTATCCTTCTAATTTTCAAAAAAGGGTAGGGTTTATCAGATTTTAATTATTCAAAATTTTGAATCATATTAAAATAAAAATTAAGTAAACTAGAAACCCTAGGGATAAGCATAAAATTTATCAAAAATAAGGAGGTGGTGGCTAGGGTTCCATAAAACCTTAGCCAAGTCGAAATTTTAGCCTTTAGGGTTTAATTTCCATAAACCCTAATTTTTGATCAATTCATTTTAGCGCACGATCAAATAGAAAACTAAGGTTTTGATACCACTGATGGGTTTTCTAGGTTATAAAAATTTTACATGTAGCAGAAAAAACACTTAAACCATTAAGTTCACATGCAACCTAGAAAGGATCTATGTTTTCTCTATTGATAACATCTAACTATGAATATCAAGAAACCCTAAAAGAGAGGCTATAAAATCGAAATTCATATTGGATTAGGGTTACACACCTTTGGATTATTATTGCAAATGATGAAAGTTGAATCCTTCTTTAAAATCTTGGAAAGCTAGCACTAAAGGAATGGATGCCTCTAATGGCTTGTACCTAAAACCCTAGTAGCAAGAAGACTTGAGGAGAGAGGAGGCTTGAGAAAAGTTTCAGCTCTATGAAGGCAAGAAGGAGTGGACGAAAGCTAGGGTTTTGGGGATAAGGACCAGATTAATTAATATAATAATCAAGCTACCTTATCTCCTTATCCTAAGCCTTATGAACGAAATTTCTACATTATTCCTAGCCAAATTTTGTTCACCCCATCCCATGGGGTTCTAGAAGTTTTTTGCTTCCACTTTCAATAAATAACCAAACAGTCCCTATACTTTTAATTAATTCAATTAATCCTAAAATTAATTCCAATTAATTTCTGATTAATTCCAAATTAATTATTATTATTTATTATTAATATATTGATCATATAATATATTAATAAACTATTTATTCCAATTTATTAATCATATAATAAAATCGCAATTCAATATTTTCCTCCAAAAATCATTCTATCCAAATACTAGTTTTGAGGGCAACCCAAAAAGAACTTTGCTTCTAATTCAAGAATATACCAATTTAGTTATTGGGTTAGACACCTTAATCCAACACTTCATCTAAGTCTCCATTTAAAAATGCGTTATTAACATCGATTTGTATAAGAGGCAATCATATTGTGCAGCTAGAGTTAACAGAACTTTGACAATAACTAACTTTGCTACTGGTGAATAAGTGTCAAGAAAGTCAACTCCCACCTGTTGATTAAAACCTTTGGCAACCAATCTTGTCTTATATCTTGCGATTGTTCCATCTGATTTCCTTTTGATCTTGTATACCCATTTTGATCTAAGAGGTTTTCTGTCAAATGGTAATGGGGTAACTTTCCAAGTATGATTTGCTTCTAAAGCATTAAGTTCTTCTTTCATTGCTTAGACCCATTCTTAGGATTTTGCAACTTTTTTTTTCCGAATTTGATTTCATTGGAAAAAGGATAAAAAGTTATGAATTTCTATATTTTTAGTTTTTTTTTTATAAAAAATAAGTTCTAAAAGTTAAAAAAAAGATTGGTTCATTACTTCCTTGGTTAATTATGGTTCTCTATTGAACCTCACCATATATATATATATATATATACAAATAAAAAAATTATATATAATCCATATGTTTATTATGGTTAATTATGGTTCCTTGGTTAATTATGGTTAATTATGGTTCTCTATTGAACCTCACCATATAATTAATCCATATGAATACAATATGATTACAAATAAAAAAATATATATATATATATATATATATATATATATATATAATTTTTTTATTTGTAATCATATTGTATTCATATGGATTAATTACTTTTCATTTATTGTAATATACAAACAATGACACTGGATTTCAAGGTTTGTGATCGAACACAATTTCATATGTATATGTATGATTCGTATACATTAATTGTTCAAGTGATTGTGATTATTTTAATGCATCATCGATCTAGATTCATTTTTAATTTTTGTAAAAACTTAGTTTTAATTTTCTTAAGAAAAAACATCATAAATGGTCCCTGTGGTTTCCCAAAATCTGAAGCTTAGTCCCCGTGGTTTAAAAACGTCATAGATGGTCCCTGTGCTTTCAAAACTTTTGACGATTGGCCCTTATTGCTAACTTCGTTAAGTTTCTCCGTTAACTAAAGTGCATTTTCGTCTTTTCACGATCACAGGGACCATTTATGATGTTTTCTTTTATTTAAAAAAAATTAAATAATAAAATTAAATAATATGCAAAAAGGGGGTCCCATCTCTCTCTCTCTCTCTCTCTCTCTCTAAAAACCACTCGATCTCCTCCGCCTAATTTCACCGTCACCACCCATATCTCTACATTTTTTTTGTGAGACAACCAACAAACCACCGTACCTCCAAGATGCCTAACTCGATCTCTCTCTCTCTCTCAAAAAACCACTCGATCTCTCTCTAACCCAATTATCAACAAAATAGAAACATTTATTCATTTCTCTAATTAACAAAAGTTTGTTTGTTAATCTCTTCAACTTCAAACCTTCATCCCTACACTTCCCGTGTTATCTGTTGGATTTCATATACTAAGTTATGGTTGAATCGTCGTGCATTCATTCATAATAAATTATCAGATGAGCTATGCACATAAAGTGTTCGGTGAAATGACAGAACCAAAACATTGCCCTGTTGCAATCAACTACAAATCAAAGATGAATCGATGGTGTCTTCGGTTCTCTTACCGATTTCAGAAAACCTCAGAGGTTAAATCCTTTGGAACACGATCATCTTCTGGTCTGAGTACCGGTTAGTGCCATCGTCTTCTTCAATTGAGAGTAGAGGTACACATCGATGCATCTGGTGAAGGGATTTAGCAAATAGGGTTGATCATTTGTTTGTAACTCTTTTCCATGGAAATCAAAGCTATGACGGTAAGATAGCCAACCGAAGAGATGAAGAAGCAGACCCAAACGAAGACGTCTTCTCCAAATCAGGTACCGAATGAACATTATGACTTTAATTTACACATATGCAACTCGATTAAAGGAAAGACGAGGATCCTTGAAAGCTATGATCTGTCTAAGATAGGAAAAGGGTTAGTTGTGATTGACCAGATGGAATGAGGGACAACAAACAAGCAGACGATGTAAGAGAGGAAAGGGGTTAACAATGCTTGTGGTTCTTGTGGTTCTAAACATCTGATGACATTAATTGGGATTGAGTTGTAGATCTGAGAAGTTAATGAGAGAGAGAGAGAGACCCTTTGTTTATTATTTTATTATTTTATTTATTTTTAAATAAGAGAAAAAACTTCATAAATGGTCCCTGTGATCGTGAAAAGACGAAAATGCCCTTTAGTTAACGGACAAACTTAACGGAGTTAGCAATAAGGACCAATCGTCAAAAGTTTTGAAAGCTCAAGGACCATCTATGACGTTTTTAAACCACACAGACTAAACTTTAGATTTTGGGAAACCACAGGGACCATTTATGATGTTTTTTCTTTTTTTAAAAACGATTAATATTTGATTGTAATGTAGTTTTGATGGTTTTATACCTAACAATAGGTATATGACACCCACATATTCATCAAGCCTATATATATATATATATATATATATATATATATATATATATATATATATATATATATATATATATATATATTCAAAAGTGAATATGTGGATGTCATGCATATAACATTGCATATGAAACCATTCAAAACAACGTAGTTTTGAGAAAAAATCACACAAATTACTTATCCTTAATATTAGGTGTTTAGTTGTATGAGTTTCCATGTCCGCTAATATCTTCATTTTCTCTCATGAATTAAAACTCGAGGAATTGGTAATACAAATAATATTCACTCCAACCAGGCTTTGTAATGATCAAAGCATAAACATTTAATTTATCTTCGTTGAGGGACTCACAAAACATTAATTATTTTTTATATTTAATTTTTTATTTGTAATCATATTGTATTCATATGGATTAATTACTTTTCATTTATTGTAATATACAAACAATGACACTGGATTTCAAGGTTTGTTGTCGAACACAATTTCATATGTATATGTATGATTCGTATACATTAATTGTTCAAGTGATTGTGATTATTTTAATGCACCATCGATCTAGATTCATTTTTAATTTTTGTAAAAACTTATTTTTAATTTTTTTTAAAAACGATTAATATTTGATTGTAATGTAGTTTTGATGGTTTTATACCTAACAATAGATATATGACAGCCACATATTCATCAAACCTATATATATATATATATATATATATATATATATATATATATATATATATATATATATATCTATATATATATAATGCTTTGCCTTTTGAAAACCGAGTTGTAAAAACCAATACAACTGATTTGTAATTTAGTTGGATCGCATCTGAATTTAATTTAGATTATTTCGATTCATGTATTACACAAGTTTCCTACTATGTGAAATTATGGTGAATAGAAATTAAAAGGGTTGGGTACATTGGTAATTTCGAGAAAAGGACAAAGGCCCTTCAATTTTAATTTTTAAGAGATTGGGATTTCAATAGGTTGATTAATGATTAGTATATGGTTGTCATGTCCAACTCAATTGTAGGGGCTAAAAGGTCAACGAAAACCAAGGAATACTAATGATTCACTTTTAGCATAAGTCGAGCCGGAGGGAGGCACAACTGGGACAACCGGACAATAAATGTGCGTATGTGATTGTGCTCTATTGGGCTTGCTAAGTAGCTAGAGAATTGAATGAAAAATTCACTTCAAATGATTTTTATAAATTGCAAAAGAACTAAAACAAAATTGCACATTGCAATCCGGCCATAAGAATCCATTAGCTATGAATATGCTTGCCACTGCCTTTATGAACTCTTCTCCATTCCATGGCATGCCATCAGGCAAGCTCGGATCACACACAGGGAACTTACTTGCGCACACCATGATTAACACGAAACATGTTTCTAATTGGGGTTTGCAATATAAAGCTCCTACAAAGGTAGATGCTAAAAAACTTGGTGCTTTGGATTCAAACATTCTCGACCAGGAGAAAGAGGGTCCAAACATGGTTTCAGATCTTGGTTTAAGAAAAATGATTCAAGATGGCTTTATATTCCAAGAAAAAGTTTGTATTAGATATTATGAAGTAGGGCCAGATCAAACTGCTTCCGTAGAAACAGTAATGAATCATTTGCTGGTACATATTCTCAATTTGTAATTTAATTCTTATAAAGTTTTTATTTTATTTTATTTTATTTTATTTTTTTTATTTTATTTTTTTAAATTTTCAATCTTTTTTTGAGGTGTGTACATGCTATTATTCACAATCTCAAGCTGGATTCACAGGAAACAAGCGTTAATCATATGAAGACAATTGGACTGATGCATGATGGCTTTGGGTCAGAAGAGATGTCCAAGAACAACCTAACTTGGGTGGTGGCAAAGACACACATGGTAGTGGACCGTTATCCAACTTGGTACCATCCTCATCTTCATCTATATATGTCATTAGGTTATAACATGAAACCCATGGTTATAAAATTAAATGAATTTTGATAGTTAAAAATCATAATTATTAATAAATTATTTTCACCAAGTTATTACGTAACAAAGTTATGTGATTGTTATGTAGCTTTATAATAATTGATTCAAATATGTGCGTTTTTAAGATACATAAGATATGAGATATTATGTAATGTCATTTAATGAAAAAAAATGATTATATTATATAATGAAATATAAAATTGATTTACAAAAACAAACACACTAACCTAAGTAAATGAAAATTGATATATGGAAAATTACAAATTAAGTTATTGTAATAAACATATATAAAAAAATATAAAAAATTACAAATAAAAATTAAATTAAATTGTGTTACTAATAATATAAATTTTATTTTAAAGTTAGAAAAATTACAAGGTATATGTATGGAATATATAACAATTGAAATAGTGAAAATAATATTATTATTACAAATCATATAAAATATGTAAAATATATATAAATACTTTCAATTATTATGTTAAAACGATAAAAAAAATTAATTAACTATGTTACTAATTGTAATAATATTAACAATAATTTAAGTGAATAATATCAGTGAATAATTACCAAAATGTTATATTATCTCGAACGATTTCTACAATAATTAATATTGTCCTCACTAAAATTTTGATTCCTCACTTAACCCTATATATATATATATATATATATATATATATATATATATATATATATATATATATATATATATATATATAGAGAGAGAGAGAGAGAGAGAGAGAGGTTGCGTAAAATAAAGATCTTGAGATTCAACCCCAGCTACATAATCCACATCTGCTGCTCTAACCCTCCTGCATACCGGCCTGACGGGTAGGTTATAATCATAAATGACGATGTAGCGCCGCCCGTTCCTTTCACCTTCGTCACATTCCCCACCACCACAACCACCACCGCCACTACCACCACCTCTATCACCAACTGACCCCACCACTGCCACATCCGTCACTTATACCATTGCCACATTTGCCACCACCACCTTTTCTTCTACTAACCGTTATAATCATATATGATTACTCAATCTGTGAATAAACATATATGTATAATCATTTATAATTAGACATATACGTATAAACATGTAAAATCATATATGATTATACATTTCTGCCATACAATCATTTATGATTAGGCATACATCACTGTTGTCGGTACGCTGAAGCGTTAGAGTGGCAAATGAGAAATATGTGGTTGAGGTTGAATCTCAAGATCCCTATTTTTTTTAACTCAAATGAACCGCCCCTATATATATATATATATATATATATATATATATATATATATATATATATATATATATAAAAGGTAGAAGAAAAAACACCTCGCTAAATTATTTTATGTTTACGTGCATAACGTGTAATCGTATCCTTGAGTCCTTATTTTGCTCCATGGATGAGCAATGCATATGATCGCGCCGAATCAAAGTATTTCGTTTGATGTTTGTTCCCTTGACGAAATGTGAGATTGTAACAATCGAATCAAAAGTAAAGATTTAAGTCAATGATAATCTTTACGAAACCAAGAGTCTTCTAAAGTATGCACAACTTATAAACGTTATCAATTTTAATCAATAAATTCAACCATGAAAAATATATCAATGTAGTGGATTATGCTATGGAGAGCCTAGTGAGTATAAATCCTAAGTGTTAGGTATTAGATGGATTGTATATAAATGAACAATCAAAATACAAATGAAAAAACCCGTACCTCATTAAAGTAAATAAAACACCAAAACTCCAACTTGGAGGAGGCACTTAGCATTAGTCAAAGTACATTGTGATTATCAACAAATCACATGATCTCATTTTGAATCATTCTAATATTATCTAACTTTTTATCTATTCTGATTATTTCTCTAACTCTTTTATCTTTTCTTAATCTTTCTAATTATGTAAACATTCTCAATTTTCTCATCATTCTCAGTCATTCTTGGTTCTCTTTGTTTCCTATCCAATCTATCTAAGATATGGACCTCTCAAGTCTTAACCCAACCTATTGCATGAATGCATGTAATCATATTTAACTTTAAAATATATTCCAAAGTCATACTCCAAACATAATCCAAAGTCAAAGTCATAATCAAATAAGAGTATATGAACTCACAATCAAAATCCAAGGTATATAAATCCACAATCCAAGTTACAATGGAATACAAAAACATAACTGATAGTCAAAGCAATCCACCTTCAATAAATAGTGATTCATGAAAACATGTCCTTAGTTCAATAAAGGACGTCCTCAAATCACAAACTATAACATCAAACAAAGGAATAAGCATTTTGTACATATAGTATCTAAGAAATATATATACATATAGTATTGTAAAAAAAGGGAAACACAAGTCAAAATACTCTTAGAATGGGGACAAGTATTCCAAGGTAAGAGTACTCACCTCAATGTAGCAATAACTCATTACTTTTAATTCCAAATTTTATGAGCAACTTAATCCTCGCTCGAACATGTTAATTATTAGTGTGTGTGTGTGTGTATATATATATATATATATACACACACACACACATAGAGAGAGAGAGAGACACACACAAACACATATTATATGATTAATAAACTTTCTTACGTCGCAATAACCCCAAAACTCTCATTACTCATCACTAGGTAACTAATAGAGGTAACCAAAAGCAAGTCCAAAATTGAAAGACCAAGATTCAAATGGATTAATAATATGGGTCAAACGGGATCAAATGGACACAGAGCCCATGTGTTTTTATGCCTATACATACACACAACTCGTAGGCATCCTACTAATAACCCAAAAGTCCATATTTTCTCTTTTAGGCATTGCACTTTGAATGAGGTTCTAATGCTTCAAAGGTGAAACCAATGGGACTTAATGATGATTAAGAAAAATTTAAAATAACCCTTAACATGAACATTTCCAACCATAAATTTGAGATTAGATGATAGAAACTCTAAAAACTCAATAAAAACAACATTGGAGATATAATCTCAACATTAGCACTTTCATAACTTTTGACTTATGGAATTCAACCAAATTGAAACCAAAACATGATATAAAACTTAACACACCATAGATTAAGATGATATTAGGGTCTAGGATTTAATCATTATTTACCATTAAGTTCCAAGCAATCAATGACACACATGGAGATCAATAATTCATCAAAAGCTCCAATGACAACAATATAGGCATGTTGTTCAATATGTTCTTATATGATGGATATATTAACATAATTTAAGCTATAAAAATTTCCATCGCATCAAAGGAACACTAACATTCAGATTCATGATAAATAGGATTAGAAAACACCCAAAACAACACAATAGAAGCATAATACTCTCCAACACTCAAAGGACACTATGATTTTCAAAACAAAAATTAATCAATGATACGATAAAACAATCCAGACTAATTAACATCCAAATAACTCAATTCAAACTAATGAAAATTAAAATCCAAATTTTAGCTCATCAAAACATGTCACGTAGAGCAAATGTCCTTTAGGGTTTCAAACTCTACATCTTGACGCGACATTTAATAGGAAAGAACTCGTCACATATATCTGCTTCATCAACCCATATTTTGTTTCTTTGATTCCAATCTAGTTTTTAGTTTTGCTTCTTTTGTCAAAGAAACTCTATAAATTTGCAAAATAGCAATTCTAAGCATTATAAGTACATTTTATCTTTAATTGCATCAAAACACTAAGATAACACACAAAATATATGAATAAAATAAGTGATATTAGTAAGATAAAAAAAATTCATGAAAATATATCGATAATGATTTCTAATTGTAAAAGAATAAAGAACTAGTAACTTTGATATGTTTTAAAATAAAAGTTACTCAAAAAACAAATAAGAAAAATGATGATGATTGGACTTTAAATGATTGGTTGTCATACTTTCTAACTTTTTTATGGTTTGTATTCGAAACTTACTAGCCTTTAAACCATTAGGGATGTGTCCTGTTAAGCTTATTAGTCGGAGCTTGATGTACTTCGTATGCTCAAATCCTTTATAGGGGCGACATTGTTCAAATTGATACTTGGAAATCTGCACATGGGAAAAATGGTGTGTGTTGTAATTTGACGTTTTGTGATTGCAAAACAGGCGAGATATTAGTAAGAGCTTCAAGGTATAAGTTGATCTTTTGTAAAGTGATTACTTAAAACTTGATTTTGCTATATTAATTTTGTAAACATGACGATTTAATTATTATACTATCTTGTAGTATTTGGGTGATGTTAAATAAAAATACACGAAAGTTATCCAAATTCCCAAATATGGTTCGAGCTAAATTAGAGCAATGCTTTGTGGATACACTGCCTACGGTCAAAGAAGACACTAGAACATGGTCAGAAGAAGCGGAGAACATTTATGAACATATTTGCAAAGGTTTAATGGTGGGTTGATTTTGACTACTTTCAAATATTATTTATATATGCTATTTGTTATTTACATGACTTTCTTGATTCTTTTTATACGCAAATATTAGCCAAGATGGAGCGATTTGGATATTAACCAACATGTGAACCATGTGAAATATATTGGGCTGGTTATTGAGGTAATTAACCTTTTTTGTTATTTTAAGGATGAATGACAATGGATTATGACACTTAATTGTTATTGTAGAGTGTTCCAAAGCCTATTGTGGAGAACTATGAGATACATAGCCTGACTCTAGAATATTTTCGAGAGTGTACCAAGGACAATGTACTACAATCCCTCACTTCCATATTGGGGAACGACAAGGGCATAATAGCTAATGTTCACTTTGTTGATTGCCACCATTTGCTTCAAATTGGTGGTGGCGGTGGTAATATCATGAAAGGAAGGACTAGATGGAGACTGAAACACAGCAAGAGTCAAGGCTCTGGAGCATCAGTTCGTTCTCTAGCTAACGGAAGTGTCTAACACCTAATACAATGAGAGCTTATTTGTGGAATCAACTCTCCTCGATATATCCACCTAATTAAACGTGTTTAGGTTCTTGATCCAAATGATTGTAACTTTGAATTGAAACTCATGACATGGTTCTGCTTATTTTTTATAAACCTTTTTGTTATTATAATTTATAAACATAAAGGCATCTTTGTGCTTACATATACATGAATAAATATTATGGGGTTCAGAATTATTTTGGTTCAGAGTCTAAACAAATGGATTATAACTGTCAGCGTGAACGTATATCGGACATTTATGTAACCCTTTTAGTTATGAAATTTTTATTCGTTAGGTTTGTAATATTAAATAGCATTTTTGTAAAGGTATTCCTCTCTAGTATTTCCTAACATCCACAACCACCGTGAGTTTGTGAATTTGCCACCACTTAGGCATCGCGACACGTGCTTTCTCTTTACTATGTCGGTAGATACGGTACGGATGAATTTGTGAATTTGCCCCTCATTCGATCCCCAAAATCTACTTTTTAGGCCTCCGTTTTTAGTTTTCCCCGGTTTCGGTCTATTTGTGTGATTTACATGATATTGACAGTATATATGTCAATTATTGGATTTTTAAATTTTCTTTGTTTATTTTTTTTGGAACGGGCAAATATATGTATAAATAAAAAACACCTCACATCAAGGCGATGCAAGGGGAAGTACAATACAAAAATGGAAAAGAAAACAAGAAAATTACAAACAAAGAAACGGACCAAGATTCCAAACTCTCTGATCCATGTTTTTAAATGAACCTCTATGTTTACACCATATGAAAGTTATTGATTTTATCTTCTCCACGGTATTCGCCGGTACAAAGGGAATGTTTTTAAAAACCCTTTGATTCCTGTCATTCCATATACACCATAGTCCTCCACATAAGATCACGTTCAACATGCTTCTTTTCTTTTTGCACTTAGACCACCGAGATATGAAGAGTAACATATCGTTGACCGAATCGAAACCATCATATGAAATTTCACACTAAGATAAAATCGAGTTCATGACAGCTTTCACCAATGGACATAAGAGAAGGATGTGATCGCTCGTCTCTTCATCCAAGTTACATGACCCACATATCGTCAATGGAACTGGAACTCCCCTTAACTTTAACGAAATTGATGATGGAATTCTGCCAAGCTTCGCTCTCCAGATAAAGCATAAGATCTTAGTCGGTATCACTCTACACCATTCGAACGGACCATCACAAACAATGTGACTCACCATTTCAATCTGTTCGCGTAACACTCTCACCGAGAAATGGTTATCAAACACAAAGTCAGAAACCCAGCAACCTTCATTTGGTTTCCAATACACAATTTCTTTGGGATCAATGTTGAGATTTTTTAACGCAGGCCTGATTTTGACTATATTTTTCCAAACACCCGATCTAGATCTGGTGGCAAAAATAGACCGATGTCTTCCATCTAAGACGTGAATGCATCAAATGACTTTCGACCAAAGTGCAATGTGTTTGTTTTTCAACCGCCACATCCATTTAGCTAATAGAGAAATGTTCAGACTCTTAATAGATCCAAGCCTAGTGACACCCACCCTTTTTGGGGAAATAAGTGTTTCCCATGCAACCCAACTAATCCTTTTCTTATCCAGGTTGCTGCTCAAAATGAATCTCCTTCTAATTTTCTCAAGGGTCTCAATGATACCATTTGGAACAGCAAAGATGGACATAAAAAAGGTCGGGAGATTGCCAAGTAATGCTTTTGCTAGGGTTAATCTACCTCCGAAGCTAAGTGTTTTTTCTTTCCACAACGAGAGTTTGAAATGAAACTTTTCGATAATTGGTCTCCAAGCGTTCTTCAGATTCATGTTTTCACCCACAGGGATACCCAGGTAAGTAAATGGGAGAGATGATGGTTCACAACCAAGAGGAGCAGACCAATTCAATACTTCGCTAGGAGATACACCCACACCAAACACTTTAGACTTACTAAAATTAACTTTCAACCCAGACGAAACATAAAAGCATCTCAAGATTCTCGCTAAGTTGGCAATGTTGCGTCTCGACCATTCTCCAATGAATAAAGCGTCGTCTGCATAAAATAAATGGGACAAACAAATGTTAGAGTTTGGGAATTTTATTCCGTCAAAAACTCCTTTATCAACCGCAGTGTTCATCGCCATATTCAACCCTTCCATCGCAATGATGAATAAGAAAGGGGAAAGCGGGTCGCCTTGTCTCACTCCTTTCGTCATAGAGAATTCATTGGTTGGGCTTCCATTAATAATCACAGGTGCTCGATATACCCAATTCACAGAGTTAAAAGCTTTGTTAAAGTCCGCCTTAAAAAGAAGCATCTTCCTTCCTTTTGATTTTTCCCAAGAGCAAAGCTCATTAACCACCAAAGGGACCTCGAGTATATTTCTCCCCTCAACGTATGCGGATTCAACCTCATCAATAACACAACCAATGACCTTCTTTAGTCGAAGTGCCAACAATTTTGCAATGATCTTGTATATGGAACGAATCAGGCTTATCGGTCTAAAATCACCAAAGTGAAGTGGATCTTTAGTCTTGACAGCTAAGGATATAAAAGAAGAATTACAGCCTCTGGTGATTTTACCTCCCATTTCAAAGTATTTGATCAACCCCATGATGTCGCCTTTTAGCAAGTCCCTGTATTTTTTGAGGAATTTGAAAGTGAAACCATCAGGCCCCGGAGACTTGTCGCCACCACACAACCACACTGCATTTTTTACTTCATCAATAGAAAATCCACCTTCTAAGAATGAGAATCCGTTTCAGAAAGCTTACGAAAACCTGCGCTGCAAAACAAAGGTCTGTATTGCCAACTTTCTCTATATTTCTTTTCGAAGAATTTAGCGCCCTTCTGATTTATCTCAGATGGATCAGTAGTCCATGCTCCGTTTGCTATAATCCCATGGATGTGATTTTTTCGGTTTCTGTTATTCACATACCCATGAAAAAAACGCGTGTTTTCGTCTCCCTCTACCTCCCATTTGATTTTTGTTCTTTGCTTCAGGTCTAAAGCAATAGAACTGGCATGTTCTGCGATTTTATGTAACATACACGTTCAGTTATCGTGTTTTGTTAATTTAAAAATAAATATTATTGAATATTATATGGTTTTGAGCATTGAGTTCTAACAAGATAGTTTTATGAGATTTGAAGTAAAACTATGTTTAGAATCATTCGGAAAGTATTGGAAGTCTTATGAGATTTCGATCAAAAGTCAACTATTGAAATTAACGAAAATATAAAGTTAGAAATAAGTAAAAATAATGTCATTGAAAGTTGTAGATTATCTCGTTAGAAACACTTAGGCAAAAACCTCATCGAAATCCGAGTTATGACGAATAAGTTATGACTTATTGAAGTTTCGCGACAGAACCGACACGACGCCATATGACGTAAAAAGTGAGTTTACGATAAACTACTTTTTAGCTTTAGTGATCTAAATGAAAGTCGTGGTATTCGTTAAACCGAGAATTTTCATAAAAAGAACGTCCAAATTTGACTTCGTATGAGGAAGTTATGATTTTTCTAAGAATCGGCATAGCAGTACACAGCCCGAAACTCGAAATAAAGATCGAGTGATTTTTAGCCGATACAACTTAAACGAGAATCGAAGGTGTTACACCCCCAAACCAGAACGGCAGAAACGTTCGGGGGTGGAGGACGTCGTGTACAGTATTATAACAATGCATAATAGTAAAACAAGCAACAACATCATCCATTGCATTAATAATATAGTTTATACATGTGTGTTCTGTGAATAGTTGCAAGACACCAAAAAAATAATATCAAAATAAAAAGACGAGTCTTGAACATTCTCCATCTTCTCAAAACCTGGTTCAGTGTACCTGTCTACTGGTGACCTGAGAATACAAGTTATTTTGAAATAGTAGATCAGCATTTAAGCTGGTGAGTTCATAAGTATTTTAGTGTCAAGAGTTTGCATCTGTTTTATGAAAATGTTTGTAAGTGTTTTGATGTAAAAGTTTGTATACTTCCTAGAAAATCCTATATTTTCTACTAAAATGGAAAGTAGTCTTCTACCAAGACCCGACTGTTTTGTATGTTTGTTTTCTCGTAAAAATGTATGTTTTCCCAAGTTTATGACTATCTTTACTAGAAAATAGTTTGCATTACTCGATGTGAGAATATCACTATATGAATGTAATGGGAAAAATGAAGATGTACAGTGGTATTGTATAAAATAACTACTGGAGTACTAACTACCTTAAAACCAATAAGTTAAATTAAGGTCAAATGTGATGAGGTTATAACCATGCTTGATTGACTAGTATAAAACACGACGATCAAAAGATGTCGAAATGGTATGACATTTGTCACCCGTAGACCTGCAGGTCCCACTGTAGCTAGAAGCAAGGTGTAGGATGGTCAATCTTGTATAGATCTATACACAAACTCACGATCTCCCTCCAGGAGACTCTGGTTAGAAAACGTGACACAACAAGTATATTGCTATGCTATAAAAATAGTGGCTCACATTATTGTTATCTTGTTCTTGTTATAGAATATATGTTCTTTCCTGTTCCTGTTATAGTATGTATGTTCCTTTCTGTTCTAGTTATAGTATGTATGTTCCTTCCTGTTCTAGTTATAGTATGTATGTGTTGGATATAGTGTCTAAGTCCATAACTTTATTTGGTATGTACTTGACCCGACCCGGCATGGTCCATTTGGGTTGCATGGCATTGCGATACTTGGATAGACTAGATGAGAGAATAAGGCACTTATGATTATTAATATATTATAAGTTCTAATATATTAATAATAGTATTATTTAATTAGTATTGATCAAGTATTAATCTAGTATTAATTTGGTGATCAAAGTGAGACTAATTAAATATATAGGGTTGATTATGACAATCATCAATTCTTTTATGGTGGATTAATGATCCATGGTTTATGGGTTTGGTTATAACCATATGGAGCTCCATAGATAGTCCATGGGAGTTACAAACCCATGGGTCATGAGAAATCAAGAGTCATGACAATTAAGGGCATTCATGTGTAAACCCTAATTGTGACAACACTATAAAAGGAACCCTATGGCTAGCAAAATCGTGACCTAGTGTTACTAGAGAGGGCATAACCGATTTTGAGTGCTAGAAGTATTCTCTCAAGTTATTCCAAGTCTTGTGGTGTTGTGTGAAGCATTTGAGGCACAACATTTGGGGTGCTAGGCTC